TCTTTCTGTCACTACGTGAGAAGAGGCCTACAGGATGGGCTATTGGTATGTGTTAATTGGGCTGGTTGGGACAGGAGACTTACTCCCTCGTACCTGTCCGCCATCTTGTTGATAAGGCTTTGTTTTTCCAAATTTAATTGAGGATTTCTGTAATTGGATGCCCTGACGTCAGACTGTTTGGCTAAGGGTATAAAGATACTAGGATTGATTGTATTAGCAGCCTTACTGGGCCCGGCTCTGCTGTGACCACGTTTGGCTCATGCTGTGCTTTATTAATTAATAAAGCTGTTTGTTAGCTGCCTAAACACAGAGGAGCGTGTTTTTGCTTCGACACTACTTATTATAAGTATTATAAATTCTTGCCCCAACTCTTTGTGGAAGAAAGGAATAGTGTAACATAAGATGCACTTATAACACACAACTTCAGAAACTGCACTCAAGACTGAACAAGAAAACCTAACATGTACGTGGAAAGATCCTAGAATGGTAACTGATTTTTTTCTTCTTAGTCTGCGGTTTGGAAAGAGTTACTGCTGGCAACTATTGGGGAACAGTTTACAGATTGCTCTACAGCAGGTAAAGAGATCTTGTTTTTACAGTGCTTTCTGTGTATTTATTTAGATTTATTTTAAGCCCCTGTTCCAAGCACTAGGTTCTTGTTCTAAAAAAAACTTCTGACACTTAAAACTTGTGTGTCAGAATATTAGCATACCTGTTCTCTCTGTCAAGGGCACAGGTCAAAGAGACAAACAGGGTTTCCTGGCTTGTTATGTGGGATAGAGTTAGCTCTAGATCAAGGTTCTTAACGTTTTTCTTTCTGAGCCCCCTCCCCCAACGTGCTATAAAAATTCCAGGGCCCAATGGGTGGGAAATACGAGGACTTTGGGCTTCAGCTGTGGAGATGGGAGAAGATCATGGGGCTGAGGGTTTGGGGCTTCTGTCCCAGAGGCTGAAACTTCCCTTCCCACCTCGCTGAGAACTTCTGTTTGATATGATTGTTCTACCTGCCTCCAATGGCCCAGCTTGAATCCCTAGGAGAATGCCAAGTGTTCTACAGGTAAAATATCTGTATATCAGCAGTGTTGTAATGGCTTAATGCTAATTCCATAGTGCTAGGATTCTGGACGTCTCAGCACGAGTCCATTTGCTTGTTATGGGGTGTTTTGTACCATTACTGCTGTGAATCTATCTTGGGCATTATATGTCCCCCATTACTGCAATACCTGTATATCCCACAATCTTCAGTGTATTTATCTTTGCAGCACTTTGTGGGATGAAGAAGTACTGTTTTCCAATTTAACAGTTAGGAAATGGAGACACAGATAGGTTAAATGATTTGCCCAGGGTCACAAAGGTATTCTGTAACAGAACTGAGAATGAATTGGAATCTGCTGAATGATCACAGTGGACCTGCAGTGGACCACCCTTCTTCTCATTTAATTATACCACTTGAATCACATTAGTTGTTAGTGTTAATTTTACACAAAATGTACTTGAAATATGTCGCCTGTTAAGTGGAACCACTAAATTCAGAAACACAATAGGTGATATTGTTTAGATGCAATAATTTAATGACAGTATTTTTCAGCAAGGGTTTGTTGAGGTAGTATGATAGGTATCTACTTCTCTGATTAATTTCCATGCGTTTTAGCAGCCTAGGAAACAGAAACAGATGCCCCTCATCTTTTCACAATAAAAAACATTAAATCTGTCCCTGCTCATTCCTCCTTATGGAGAGTTGAACTGACGTCAGGAAGTAAAAAAGCATGTGTGCCCTGTACACTTAATTGTCTATGCAGAATTCTGTTCCAATCTCAGTGATTCAGCAGTAGACAACAGACTCCTGGATACTTGTAGCAACAGTGTGAAACTCACTATAGTCTTGTTAATTTCATTCTGCTGCTTGAGAAAACAGTAGCAACTAGGGATATTAAAAAGCTTTTGTGAAAATGTCAGCAGTGACATGTTTACATGCAGGGGAGTTGCATGGGAGAGTGGGGGGAGGCAACTCCACAGGAGCCATTGCACACAAGGAGTTGGCATAAAAGCTGGCTTCCTGCACACATCAGCTCCCACCTGTCCCCCGTGCACATTAACTGATGAGCCCATGCTTATCTGTTAACCATGTAAACTGTAACACTCTCACACCCCTAGTAGCAGCCCAGTAATAAAGCTAAACATTCTGGAGAGATTACTGTTTGTCTCCTTCACACTTCGAAAAATAAAATTTCACTCAGAATGGTGACAGATTTCCCAGTCCCTCAGTTCCTTATATTACCATAACACAGAATTAAAGCCATAGCTATCAATTGTGTATGAACTGCCAATTCGCTTCAAGGCACTATTTACAACAACTGCTGCAACTAAACACACACATGGTTTC